ATTCCACCCTTGACCACTGAAGGTCAGTGACAGCCTTCTTGAAACACCGTTCTCTCATAAACAACATAATCCTCTAATCTCCTGGAAGTGTCCTTATGCTAAAGTGTTCCTTGCTGGCTCATGGGGCAGGTGCTGGGTTTGCTTCTTGTTGCTGTCTACACAGTATTCCTAAGTAAGCTTATGGGCTCCCATGACTTTAAAGACCATTTCGATCAGTGGTTTTGGTTTTCAGATTGTAGTCTCTGGATCAGAAGTGTGATACCAGCATCACCTGGAAACTAATTCTAAATGCAAATGATCAGGTCCAGGCTTAAGGAATCAGAAATGGCCTGGGCTGTGTGTGTGTGTTGGGGGGGGGGGGGGGCGCGCAGGGAATGACCACGACTATCAACTACTGTTTTCATAAGCTTTCTGGAATCTTCTGAGGCACACTGAAGTTTGAAAGCCTTGGATCTAAATTAGTGTTTTTCATAATGCAGGTTGTGACTTGTTTGTTAGTCATAAAATATACTGAGTTGCAACCAACATTTAAAAACATGAAATAGGATAAAATAAAAAAGAATAGGCCGGGCGCGGTGGCTCAAGCCTGTAATCCCAGCACTTTGGGAGGCCGAGACGGGCGGATCACGAGGTCAGGAGATCGAGACCATCCTGGCTATCACGGTGAAACCCCGTCTCTACTAAAAAATACAAAAAAACTAGCCGGGCGAGGTGGCGGGCGCCTGTAGTCCCAGCTACTCGGGAGGCTGAGGCAGGAGAATGGCGGGAACCCGGGAGGCGGAGCTTGCAGTGAGCTGAGATCCGGCCACTGCACTCCAGTCTGGGCGACAGAGCGAGACTCTGTCTCCAAAAAAAAAAAAAAAAAAAAAAGAATAAAATTCACACATTATAAAGGTAAGTAATATTTCATGAAACTTTTGTTTCAATTATACGTGCATGTTCCTGTGTGTGTTCCTCTATACTGGTTAAGTATATTTTACTGCGGGTCACAGTCTCAGGCTCAAAAAAGCCCTCATCTATATGATGACTATATGAGCCAGATCTTTGCAGTGTGGTTCCTTCTTCATTTAGGTTTCATTTTGGAGACAGAGTCTCACTCTGTCATTCGGCCTGGAATGCAGTGGCATGATTTCGGCTCACTGAAGCTTCTACCTCGCAGGCTCAAGTGATCCTCTCACCTCAGCCTTCCAAGTGGGTGGGAATACAGATGCTCACCACCACACCCAGTTAATTTCTTGTAACTTTTGTAGAGATAGGTTTTGCCATATTGCCCAGGCTGGTCTTGAACTCAAGTGATCCCCCTGCCTTAGCCTCCCAAAGTGCTGGGATCACAGGCGTGAGCCACGGTACCCAGCCTATTTGGGCCTTTCTTAACCACTCCACTTAATAACGTCTTCTCCAATGCACTTATTCTCATGCTACCATGTTTTGTTTTTATTTTTTATTTTTGTTTTAAAATTTATTTTTAACATAATTTTTAAATTTTATTATTTTATTTCATTCAGAGACCTTATCACTATTTAAACTATCTGATTGTTTATAATCTTTCTCCCTACCAGAATCTAAGCTAATGAGAGCAATGGCCATGTTCCCTTCCATATTCTCAACACCTATAACAGTGTCTCCCCACGCATAACATCCAACTCAATAAACACTTCTTATCTGAATAAACTTTATAATTAAGTAACTAGTAAAGCCAGCTCTTAACATGCTTTAGACTAGTGTGTGATGGCTCACGCCTATAATCCCAGCACTTTGGGAAGGATAGTATGAGCCCAGGAGTCTGAGACCAGCTAGGCAAAATAGCAAGATTCCATCTCTACAAAAAAATTAAAAAATTAGGCTGAGCGTGGTAGCTCACGCCCATAATCCCAGCACTTTGGGAGGTCAAAGTGGGTGGATCACCTGAGGTCAGGAGTTTGAGACCACCCTGACCAACATGGAGAAGAAACCCTGTCTCCAATAAAAATACAAAATTAGTGGTGGCACATTCCTATAATCCTAGCTACTCGGGAGGCTGAGGCAGGAGAATCGCTTGAACCTGGGAGGCTGAGGATGCAGTGAGCCGAGATGGTGCTGCTGCACTCCAGCCTGGGCAACAAGAGTGAAACTCTGTCTCCAAAAAAAAAAAAAAAAAAAAAATTAGCCAGGCCTGGTGGCACACACTTGTGGTACCAGCTACTTGGGAAACTGAGGTTTCAGTGAGCCATGATTGTGCCACTGCACTCCAGTCTGGGTGACAGAGCAAGACCCCATCTCGAAAAACCCCCAAAAACCATGTGTATCTCATCCCTGGATCTCTCTAATAAAATCAGCACTTCCCTGTATGCTGACAGCTTACATTGCAGCCATCTGCTGCAGAATCATGGTCCTTGGGAAAGTTACAGAGCCATACTTTCATCACTGTAGAAACAAAGGCTTAGTCTTCGGACAAGAATCTGATAAAACAGCAACCCAAAATACTTTTAGTTTAGAACAGATGAGCAGAGTGTTCATTTAATATGAGTCAAGGAACAAAGAAAAACCCATGGGATCTATTTCAAAAGGAAATACTGGAAGGCCAGAGGCTTCAGGTTCACGTGCATTTCAAATGTGAATTATCTAACAAATACCTCCATACAGTTCAAACTCTTCTGGAGAAGGTTAACAGTAAATTTAATAGGGTATAAAATTGGGATGGTACACTGGGAAGGAAAAAAATTAGGAAGCAAAATGAATGAAGAGAAAAGTGATATACACAGCCAAAATAGGTCTGCTGGAGAATCTATGAAATGTATAATATTATAGCTCAAGAATGGCTCAATATTAGAAGTCTTTTTCTGCATTTGAAGTAAATTAGTGTCCTTCTTGACCCCACTGCTGCCGTGTATATGTGCCTGTGCAAATGAGCTTGTAACTTTGGGGAGGACACTGCTGAGTCTGCCTATTTTAGGCATAGAAGTGATATTTAAGAGAGAACCCCAAATCACTCTGTACCTTTTTTTTTTTTTTTAAGAGACGGGGTTTCATCACGTTGGTCAGGCTAGTCTTGAACTCCTGACCTCATGTAAGCTGTCTGCCTTAGCCTCCCAAAGTGCTGGAATTACAGGCGTGAGCCACTGTGCCCAGCTCTACCTATTTCTGCAATCATAATGAGTTTTAAGTAACAGCAAGTGTCGATCATGTTACAGGTTCTGGAGTAAGAGTACATAGGTTTGAACCCCATTTCTACTATTTGTTAGCTGTCTAAGTTTAGACACATTCTTTAATTTCTCTGAGCTTTTATTTGTATAATTAGAACCTCACAAAATTAGTATGTTGACTGAGTTAATAACACACATAAAGGCTTTAAAACAATGACTGGTACATGGTAAACCAGAGCATTTAGTAGGTATCACATTGCCTGTACTAAGCTCTTCAAAAGCTTTTTCTCCTCTAATTGTTGCAACAATACTAGGAGGCAGGTTATAAGATATTCGCTCACCCCCACATAGATTAGCAAGTGTGAACCGTGAAGAAGTTAAATAACTTGTCCAAAAACTCACAACTAGCAAGTAATGGAACTAGGATTAGAACATAATCTTAGGTGCACACCTCAACAAATACTGGCCTTCTAGGAAACCAGAATGTATGGAGTAATCAACAACTCAGCTCCATTCTGTGGCAGTTGCCCTGATATCTATATCAGAACAAGGAAATATATTACACATGTGCACATACATATCAACTTTATATACCACGTGTAGCTCTCCAAAAAGAGACTGAGAACTAAAGCCCACAGTACACTTATCACACTTTGTTCCCATGCCTTTGCATTATCCCTTCCAGGGTGGTGGTTCAATCAAGACAAAAGGAGTGATGTGTTACTCATTCCATCGCAGACTCACTTAACACTGTTACTTAAAAGCAGATGGTATTCAAAAACGATTTATTGAATGTATGAAGAAAATGACACTAGAAAGGGCTTTATAAAATTGCAAAGTACAATTTAAGTTTTTATAACATCAACTTAATTATTATAAAGTTACATTTATTTTATATTTTATTTCTATTTATATATTTGTTACTTATTAAGAAAAATATAAATAATTATTATAACCATAATAGGAGCTATATAATACTTATCAAAGACTCACTATGTGGCAGGCTAAAGGCTTTATTGCTTTATTTTAATCCTCATTACAACCCTATGAAGTAGGTATCATTATTGCACCCTTTTTATAGAAGAGGGCATATTTAAGGTCACACTCTAGGAACTGCTAGAGTAAGAATTTTGACTCAATTTTGATATTGAATTCCTTTTCTATATTGTAGAAGGGAAAACATTCTGTTAAGGAAGCATATGTTTCACATACCATAAAATTCACCAATTTACAATGTATAAGTCAGTGATTTTAGTATATCCACAAACTGTGTAACCATCACCACTATCTAATCTTAGAACATTTCATCGCCTCCAAAAGAAATTTGGTATACATTAGCAATAGTATACACTATACAGACATAAAAGAAATGCAAATTATTTTAAGTAAAGCCACAGTTACATATATGTATGAATGGATATTTGATTCATCTAATGCAAAAGAAAATCGTGAGATGAATTTTAAAGGACAAAATACAAGTTGGTGGGCCTTCTGTGATTCTGCATTAGCAACATCACTTTGAGTAAGGCAAGTAATCAACAACTGAAATCTACATCCAATCCAGATAATTATGGGTCAACTTCTAATTTCAAAGACTAGGGACATTTTTGTATTCACAACCAAACAATAAGATTAGAAGGAAATATAGGAAAAATAGTGTACAATATAGCTTCCTTCAATATTCCCTTTCTCAGTGTCAAAGGGAAAAGCTGAGGAAATGACGCCACAAAGGCTTCAAAGGTATAGATTTGCTTTTTCAGCATACGTTCATGCACATTTTTGAAGAACTCACAGCCATATATTTGATAATTTACAACAGTCGTTAAAACATAATTTAATAAGTTCTGCATCTACCCTAAATAGTGAAAAGGCACTCACGGTGGGTAAAGGCATCTTCTTCTTCATTTTCATCACTGTCATCAGACCGAGCTTTATAAGGAGGAGGGAGTTTCATCGGCGGTGGGGCAGTTCCTTGCCTCTGAAGATGCAAAATTTGAGAGAAGCGTTAAATGCCGTGTTTGTACAATGCTCTTCTTTCAACGACAAAAAGCATAAAAAGACAGTCTGGAAATATTTAGACCATACCCAACTTCATTCGTATCATGAGGATTGTAAAACAAACACAATGTATTCTTTTATGTTTATGTTATAATATAAAAGTGACTCTGTGATATAAACACACTAATGCAGAAAAATAGAAATTTAAAAGCAAGTTTTTAAGACTGTTAGCTACCTAAAAGAATGCATTCCTTTCTCTAGTGAGAAAATCAGTTATTTGTATTTTATTTACATTGTGGAAGTTTAATTTTGTTATTAACCAGAAAATTCAAGTGAAAGACATTTCTAAAATAAATGTAAAAGTAAAAACTATCCATTGTATTAATTCTACAATGATTTAAACTTTTTCTTCAATTGTAGAAGTTACAGATTTTATTCTTTAAAAGACACGTGACAGACCAAGATTTTCTAACTGAAAATGTATTCATCTATAATTTATAGATGGTCAACATACACTTCAACATTTTCAAAAAGAGATATCTTCATGGTGAATAATTATATCTGCATAAATATTCATTCAATTCACATATGAAATGATACAGCACATCAATATTTGGTTCATATACACAATTAAAGTAGAATTAAACTCTAGGATCAAATTACCTTCACAGAATGAAGACATTTTCTTGAACGATGGGAAAAATAAAACATGCCAAACTCAGCTTGAGACTCAAGCTGCTAAAAAGAATAGGAGCCGATATACCCAAGCACTTCACAAAAACCAAAATAACTGGATTATGCTACAGGATTTCAATAAAGTACATTCAATTATGCTTTATATGACAAAACCACTAATGGCAGGATACACTTCAGTAAGTGGCCAATGAGTGGTCCATTACAGAAAGCAGGCATGTAATAAATTCCTCCAAAATAGAAAACACTATTTGAGAGTCATAAAGGAAAGCACACACCCTTATTTACTTAAGATAATGTCGAACCAAAGCAGAAACTATATACACTTGTAGAAAATGCAAAAATCTATAAAATGCAAGAGTGATGACGGAAGATGCCAAATACAAAATGCCTCTTAGGCAAGAGGAGAATCCAGAAATGTGATCACTTTGTCTCTTTGATTGTTTTAAGTTGAAAAAAACTTAAAACTGAGTGAAATGAAGAGTAAAGGCAAATGAACTCTTTTCAGTAAACCTTTTCCTCAGAACCAGGATATTCTATATCAAAGACAATACTCAGAACAAAGACAGCCAGGTTTTAAAATAATATTCAGATGAATTCTCTTTAATGGAATTTTTTATGTCTAAAGCAAAATTGTACAACTGATTTATTTAATTAGCTTCTACTGATATTCTTGAAAAAGAATACAGAATAAGCATGTCCTGGTCTCCTTATAATCTGAATGTGGATTGCCAGATACTGCACATGACAGAAGGTTGTGTACAGGGCCAGGCTCTCCCCAGGTGTGGCAAAGGCAGCCGGAGCAAGGGATGTACAACCAGACCAGGTGATTGTGACCTTCAGGAGGGTAAAGCACAAAACAGACTCTGTGGTATCCTCAACTCTGAGAACAGTCCTGGGGACACAGTAGGCCTCCCTGAACGATTTGCTGAATGACTTAACAACTGGTTGTCACTCGTGCTGTTTGGGTTCCCTGACGTATTATTAACCTTAGAAAAATGTCAGAGATGCAAATAATTCTTGCTCAATATCATTGCATATTAATTGTGTCTGGTAGAGATGCAAATGATTTTAGTCCTGTAGAAAAGATCACTTCAAAGGTTACAGTTTTATTGCCCTGTAAGACATTAACCAGTTTTTTATCTAAATCGGAATCTTAAGCATTCTTTCTTTTAGCACTCTCTTCAATAGCACTTCACTCTCTTCAATTCTCTCTGCACCAGGCTTACCATCCTATTGGTTCCCTCATTAATGAGTTAAATAAATACCTGGCACCTGCACATTTTGCATAATTTTCAGTCATGTTTTTATTTTTTTCTTAAATTATGCTTTGAACAGTTTTGGAGGTCCCACAGAGATGCTCAAGCAGACTCACCTACCAGAACCAATTAAATTGTGATGCCTCAGAGATGCAATTCATGAGCTGTTTAAGCCCATTTACATGATTTTTTGGCACCCACAGTTAATTCCAAGTGGCAACAGAACTTTGCTTTTTTGAGAGTTTCTCTGATTTTTATTTCCAGTTCTATGATTTTGTTTCTGATATGAGACCAAGTTTGGTTCTGATACGTACTTGTAATTCCTCACTGATAGTAGAAATAAATGAAGTTGGGTTTTATGGTCTGACCATTTAGAGTTATTTGTTGGGATGAGAATCTATAATATATTGATTCTATAAAGATCTATTCTCAATTGGTTGAGAGACAACAGAGAATGCATTGTTTAGTCTTTTTGTGTGCCTGTCTGTCTTTTTGTACAAGACCATGTCTTGGGTCCACTGGAAAGAACAGCTCTTTGACAAAAAACCAGTGGTGTTTTGCATTCCTGTGTCTACATTTGACATATGGCTATAGCTGCAGGACAGAAGCTGAACACATTCTGTGTATCTGCACTGGAGAAAGAAAAGTCCTTACCTTTCATTTTGAGTGTGAAATATTTTCCTACCTTCAGAGCATATTAATAAATTAGATGTAAATTTCTCAAAATAAAGAATCTCTTTCTGATTGCTTATAGAAATGAGCATTATTTAAATGTAATAGTCCCAGAGTTTCCAGAAAATAATAGTTGACTAAAATTACATTACTTTAAATGTACAAGGCTTTTAATAATAATTTTAAGAATCTCTTTTTCACAAAAACCACAAACTCAGAATCATTTTTATGTAAGAATCCAAATTCACATAATCAAAGTTCATAGCCTTTTGAAGAAAGAAAATATATGAAATAACACTGAAGACAACCTTAGAAAATAGCCAAGAGTTTTTAGGAACTTTCAGTTAATACTAGTATTTCTTTTTTGTTTTGAGACAGAGTCTCACTCTGTCACCCAGGCTAGAGTGCAGTGGTGCCATCTCGGCTCACTGCAACTTCCGTCTCCCAGGTTCAAGCAATTCTCCTGCCTCAGCCTCCCAAGTAGCTGGGATTACAAGCTTGTACCACTACACCTGGCTAATTTTTATATTTCTAGAAGAGATGGGGTTTCACCATGTTGGTCAGGCTGGTCTTGAACTCCTGACAAATGATCTTCCCGCCTTGGCCTCCCAAAGTGCTGGGATTACAGGCGTGAGCCACTGTGCCTGGCCAATACTAGCGTTTCTATGAATCCTGATTGCCTATTCTTTCACTCTACATAATGCAAAACAGATCAAAAAACAGTAAACCGAGGCAAACTAGAATAAAACTAGAGACTTACGCAAGATCTGCTCATTGGTTTTTTGTTTGTTTAGTTTTTAGTCACTCTCTGTTTTTAAAGTGAATGATCTCAAACCAAACCTAGACCTCGTTAGAAATGAGTTTCAGGTGATTTGTATTGTCAATGATTCTTGAGACCACGTCTTGCTTTTATACTAAGGAGAAAATAAGATACACAAAAAAACTTCTAGTGATAATAATTTTTAAAGAGAGAGATTAGTCACCTGGCTTCCTAACCTTGAAAAGAGTATGCTCTCAAAGCATGCTGGGCACATTTTTATTTTCATACTAATTACATTCTCTTTATTTCACTCCACGTGGCACCCTGATCTGAATGCCTCTTATGGTGAAGGCGCCTTGTCATTCCAGAATGTAGTAAAATGCTTGGCATCTAAGATGCAATTTCAGAGAAAAGTAATACAGTAAAAAGAGCATTCAGCAACCACTAAAAGGCCATCCTGTAATGAAGATGTAGATTCTGATTTGATTTCTCCTGTTGCCACATTAATGCAGTGGCTAGGTGTTTTTCTTTGTGACAAATAACTCAGTTGACTTTTGGTATTACAGGTTCCTACTGGGGTTTTTACTGAATGCAAATACCCTTGCCATGCATTGAAATTCAACTGGTTTAATGGAGCAGTTCAAAGTTGATAAGAATCACACACATACTTTTTTCTTTCCTGGGATCTTATGTGGAATTTTCCTGAACTGATTACATTATCTTGTTCCCAGATGTGGCTGGAGTAGCAACCAGTTCATTCACCTACGTGGTGTTCATTGTCTGTGTCCCCACGGAGTGTTACCTTATATGTTTCCTTTTTGATGTTATATCCCCAGATTGCTGCACAGTAACTGGTTGACTATAGGTAACCAATAAACACTTGATGAATGTTCACATCTTTGCATCAACATATGAATTGACAAAATTCCAGCAATAGGGTAGATTAGGTATTCTGAAGAACCCTTCTTAACCACATAAAAATGACAGGTTAAAGTTTAAACAGTGCTTTTGTGACATGTGACTGAAGTCAGAAACAACTATAAATCCCAAATCAGGAGGTCCAGTGGAGCACTGGAAGGTGACACTTGCCTGGAGGGCATCTGCCAACCCTTGGAAACCTAAAGCCAGAGATCTGATTTGATTTCAGGATTCTTTATTCATTCAAGAAATATATATGACTCCAGGCAGTGTTCCGGGCAATAGAGGTAGAGTAATAATCCAACAGATGAGGTCCCTGCCCTCATGGAGCTTAAATTCCAGTCCCTTCCAAATGTCACATTTTGTGGGTTTCCATGTCTTGTCCCCAAATTACTTTAAAGTAGCAGTTACTGGCCAGGCATGGTGGCTCACATCTATAATTCCAGCCCTTTGGGAGGCCAAGGCGGGCAGATTACCTGATGTCAGGACTTCAAGACCAGCCTGGCCAACATGGTGAAACCCCATCTTTACTAAAACAATACAAAAATTAGCCAGGTGTGGTGGTGTGCACCTGTAGTCCCAGCTATTCAGGAGGCTGAGGCAGGAGATTTGCTTGAACCTGGGGGGTGGAGGTTGCAGTGAGCTGAGATTGCACTGCTGCACTCCAACCTGGGTGAC